GATCACTTCTCTGCAGTTACAGTATTGAACCTTAGTTAAGAAACTCAGTTGGTTTGATTTTGAAATTCAACTAAATTTTTCATTCATTTTCCTTTGCTGTCTTTACTCTCCCTTTATGTGTGATTGTTCATCTTTCTAGTCTATTTAAATGGAAGTGTCTTTAAATCACTTATGAAAAATGCTTTCCTTTGGCACATTTATTGTTGCTTATAAAGTGTTCTTTATTTCCATTTTTCAATAAAAAGAAGGTTGTTTTATAGTCTTCAAACTTTTTATTTATAAATCCCCAATAGAGCAGAAGCTAAAAGAGAAAAATGTCTGCTCCTCCATGGAAAGAATTAATAAGAATTAGAAGCTTAGGGGTTTTGTGATTGTGGTTGGGTTTTTTACTGTATTCTACTGTCTTACATACAGCAGTGATTCTCTCTTTTTCACAAAAAGGATTAGAAGTGTGTAAAATAAGTATATGTGGAAACGTGCTAATACCACATTTTTATCAGCCAAACAATAGAAGGTATATTGTTATTTACTGGGCAATACGTTTAAGATCTAAACTTGGGTAGAGTCTAGCCCTGCAAACTGGACCACAAGGGAAGTATATGAAGCATCTTGCACTAAGAAATCTTACAGCAGGTCCTTTTTTATGAGGCCATAGATTACAGTGTTATCATTAATGTTGTACTTGTTGTTGTTTACATCCCTTTATCAAATACTTGTCTTTGAATTTCAGAAACAGAATATTTGACTGTAGATTTTTTAGAGCTGGGAAATCCTAAATAAGGAAAATGCAAAATTCTATTTAGTTCAGCCATAAATTCTTAGAAAATAAAATGTTTTTCTGCCAGACTTCCTCATTCTTTACAATGGAAGTATTCATACCTATACACTGATTACATCATAACCTTTTTGTAAAGAGGTGGCAATAATGAGAAAATAATTAACTATTGAAAAAGATACTTCATGGAAAAACTCAACCCTATAGTTATTGGCACATTAGGCAGAATAACAGATTAAACACATGTTTACAATAGCTAAATAATTTGGCTATATCAAATATGGATTAGAAAATTACCTCACTGAGCACTTTATGATATTACTTCAAAAAGGCATATGTTCCTCAGGGAGACTCAAATTTCCAAAAAACAACAGGAAAATAACTGATTTTTTTTTGTTTCTTCTCTATATTGTGTTATTCCTTGAGGAAATAATAACAATGCAATTATTTTGTCAGTGTTGATTGTGTTTAAGTGATACTCCAGATGATGATGATTATATTATATATTATATAATTATAAAATATAATTATATAATATTTATGTTATTAATCAAATTTATGTGGCTGCCCATCTCATAGAAATTAAGCTGGAAGGCATAAAACAAACCAGTAAAACAGTAAATGAATAAGACAATTATTAGTTAAAACCATTATATAATATTATTAACTAGATTTAAGAATGATAGAAGCAGACCTAAAACAGAGAACAATACATGGTTGGATGTAAATAATAAAGAAACCACCTCCAAGGTCACCCATCTCCTGGGTCTCAAGCCTACTGGATCCCTGGGACCTGAGGGTTTACATCCCAGAGTTCTGAAGGAGCTGGCAGACATGATCTTGGAATCATTGAACCATATCTTTCAAAGTTCTTGGAGCACCGGGGAACTATCAGAGGATTGGAAAAGAACTGATGTCCCAATCTTCCAAAAAGGAAAAACTACAACCTGACACCAATACCTGGGAAGATATCTATATGGAGGGAAGTAAGCAATGGGGTATCCCAAGGTTCCATTTTAAGCCCAGTACTTTTTAATATCTTCATAAACGATTTAGATGAAGGAATAGAAGTGGAACTCATCAAATTTGCAGCTAACACTAAACTGGCAGGAACAGCCAACACCCCAGAAGATAGGCTCAAGATCCAGATGAATCTTGATAAACGTGAACACTAGGCCCTATCTAACAAAATAAAATTCATTGTAGAGAAAAGGATGATTTTCACTTAGGCAAGAAAAACCAAATGTACAGGTATAGATTATGTGAAACTTGGCTCAATAGCAACTGTGAGAGGGATTTTGGAGTCCTAGTGGACAATCACTTAAAAGAACTGTGGTTGTGCAGTGGTTAGAATGCAGTATTGCAGGCTAACTGTGTTTAGCAATTCAATTCTGGCTGGCTCAAGGTTGACTCAGCCTTCCATCTTTCCAAGGTCGGTAAAATGAGGATCCAGATTGTTGGGGGAAATATGCTGACTCTGTAAACCACTTAGAGAGGGCTATAAAGCACTATGAAGCAGTATATAACTATAAGTGCTATTGCTATTGTAAAATATGAGCCAGCAGTGTGCTTCAGCAGCAAAACAGTGTAACTCTAGGTTGCATTAACAGATGGATAGAATCAAGATCACATAAAGTATTAGTACCATTTTAGCCTTAGTAAGACCACACTTAGAATACTGCCTCCAGTTTTGATCACCATACTATAAAACATATGTTGAGACTGTGGAAAGAATGCAGAAAAGAGCAACAAAGATAATTAGGGGGCTGGAGGCTAAAACATGAAGAACATTTGCAGGAATTGGGTATGTCTAGTCTAATGAAAAGAAGGACTAATAGTGTTCCAATATTTGAGGGGCTGCCACAAAGAAGAGATCAACCTATTTTCCAAAGCACCAGAAGGCAAGACAAGAAACACTGGATGCAAACTAATCAAGGAGAGAAGCAACCTAGAAATAAGAATAAATTTCCTGACAGTGAGAACAATTAACCATTGGAACAGCTTGCCTTCAGAAGTTGTGGAGGCTTTTAAGAAGAGATTGAACACCCACTTGTCTGAAATAGTATAGGATCTCCTGTTTAGAGTCTGAATAGATATTCAGACTAGAAGACCTCCAAGGTCCCTTCCAACTCTGTTATTCTGTTCTGCTCAGTTTCAATGTCCCCATTCAACAATGGAGCTTAACATATGGCACCAATATTTGCAATCTAACTGATGTCACAGCATTGTTGCTTAAAATTGGGAAAAGGATGATACTAAAGAGCAGAAATGAAGAGAGTATATAGATCTTGAGAGATCTTCAGAAGTTTAGGAGTAATGATGCCAGCCTTATATCTGGGGCAAGAAGATACCACAAAATGAGTGGCAAGCAGAAAAGGCCCATCAAATGTAGCTCTCTAGATGACGAGTGACATGTGTGACATAACATATAAAATCATATATGAAATTATATAATATCATGTTTGGTTGCTAATCCAGTGTAAAATTCTGTCTGATGACCAGCCATATAATTTTATATAATAACCAACTGGAGCGTCACTTGAACATCATTGCCATTGAAAAAATTATTATAATTCAATTGTAAAAGGCAATTTTACTTAGAATCCCTGACATTCTGTAACAACATCTTTAATACCATCAAATATAATCTGCTTATCCCACATCCTTGGGAAGGATTTGCCAAATTCAGTCTAAATATCTGGCTAAATGTATGAATATCTAAGTATAGAGAGGGAACTCTGGTCTACAATATATCTTGGCACATGTCAGAGGTCAGACCTTACCTTTTACTTGGCCTATCAACAGCAATGTTGCAATGGATGGTATCACAAAGCATCACTCACAACTGCATGCCTATTGCCAGTCACAGCAATTTTGCAATATAGGAAATTATGGCTCCCCAAGGCTTGCGCAATTGAATCCAGCCAAGCAGCTCTCTTAGAAAGGATGGGAAACATGCACAGTCAGGGTGCAGTTCCCCTTAGCTAGCTCTGATGGTCTTTCCCTGAAGTCCCCATTGCAAGGTTTATCAAAATTGCTATTTTTTTAGCTGAGAAATCCGGAAGGAAATACTGATCTGTTCCTACCCATTGGCTAAGACAAATGCCACCCACCACTATCTCTGTAAGCAGCCCAAAGCTTAATTGAGATAAATATTTATTCTGGGTAGAAGTTAGAGTGGGGAGAGAGAACTGGGGACATACAGTAGCTGTTTCAGAAAGGACTTTTGTTTACCTCTGAATATAGCATAAATATGGCAGAGTCTGTGCCAAAGGGTCTCTCGCTCTTCCCTAATGGAATTGTAAAACAAGTTAAACGTGAATTAAGAGGGAAAACTTACTTGTGTAAAAAGAAAATAGATATTCTTGTGGGCCTGGTTTAAATAGTTTAAGCTTGGCCTGGGAACAAATGGGAACAAATAACTTTTTGAAAGAGGAATGCCTGGTTAACTCAACTTTCCTTCAACTGTACCATTCTTGCTATGCAAGGATAAAGGTGAGTCATTTCCCAGCTACCAATCCAAGGTCTCTGTTCAGCTGCCAACTACTTAGGTGAAGTCATTTCACAGGGAGTAACTGAGAGGACTGGTAAGAGTGTAACTGCCTACTTTTTTTCACTCATACAAGGACTACTCTTAATGGAAACTCTTTAATCTATTTAGAGAAATTATTCAAACATTTTTCTCTCCAGCACTGCCCCTCAAAGTAGATGAAGAAATGCTGTAGTGTGAAATGAAAATTAGCTGAAAAGCCTACTTTAAAGGGAGGAGGGAATGAGCCTCAGACTGCCCACTAAAGAGGGGAGTGAGGCTGTGCAACTGGCATTTGGAAACACCATCTGGTCCCGGTCTCAGCTTCTGGCTTCACTCTTAGTTGGTGGATCCTGCTTGAGTTTCACTTGCCTATGTGCCAGAGCCAAAAGCTTAGGAAGTGTGGAAATGATTAATTGCTAAAAACATTAGAAAATGCTTCATTGGGTAAATATATTTTTAGGGGTTCAGTTAAATTCCAGTTTATTATATACTTTAGGCCTAGACCCACTTTATAGTATAGCATTATATAGGTATATAACAATGTCCTTGATGTGACAGACTCAAATATTGCAGACTATGGAGGTTCCTAATATATTGTTGTTATGTCAATTAGTGTTACAAGTTCAGCATGAAGTAAAGCCTTTAGCAACTGGTCACTGGGTCAGTGTGTCTTACACTGCTTTTTTTCCCCAGGCCTATACTATTCAAGGACAATATGCAATTCCACATCCAGATGTGAGTTTCTCTTTATTATTTGTAAATGTATTCTATGTTACCTGCATGCTTTGTCAAATGAGTAATATTAATATTAATAATTAATATTAATATGCTTTTGTCAAAATAATTGGCCAATTAATTGTGTAGTATTGGTAATAATTAGGACTAAATTCTATTTCTATTGAGGACTTGGCCTGTTGTTAAATTACCAACATTTTTCTGTGCTATCCCTTTACTAAATTTTTTGTTCCCTGATATTAGCCATTAAAGAGCCTTTCCTTTTATGTTTTTTTCTGCCATAGAAATTGCTGATAATGAAAGAAACAACCTGTTTATGCATCTTCTTATTTTATGATATGGTTATACCCAGACTCCTTGCTATTTTCCTTAGTCTTTGCTTATTTATTTAATTTATACTCCACCTTTTTGCCAAGAACTCAAGATACTTTACATTTCCTTAGTTATAATGAAAGGGAAGAGAGAATTTCTGCTGATGCTGAATCTCTTAGTTTTAGAATTTGGAGGAGGGGGGAACAGTTGATTATTGTCCTCCAATTGTCATTCCAAACCAGGAGTGGGCATCATTATTTGTTTTATTATTTATATCTTTAGTAAAAATATTTTTTCTTAATAGCAATAGCAATAAGACTTATATACCACTTCATAGTGCTTTACAGCCTTCTCTAAGTGGTTTACAGAGTCAGCGTATTGCCCCCAACAATATGGGTCCTCATTTTACCAATTTCAGAAGGATGGAAGGCTGAGTCAACCTTGAGCCAATCAGGATCGAAGGAATTGAACTCTTGGCAATGTGAGCAGAGTTAGCTTGCAATACTGCATTCTAACCACTGTGCCACCATGGCTCTACTTTATGTTCCTTCCTTTCTAACAAAAAAAAGCATATAAATAACATCTGAAACAACATTTGCAAAAATGCTTCTCATAAATGAACTTAGTACCAACTGTTATCTCTTTCACTGCAAAATGAAGATTATAAATGAATTTTATTTAGGCCATACTATGCTGCCAATGGATGTTCACACTAATTTTATACAGGGAGAAAAAAATCTAGGCTTCATTTTTATCTGTTTTCAGTGTCTAAGCTTTCTGCTTGCTTGCTTGCTTATATATTTATGGATGGAAGAGAAAATGTATAGCCTAAATATTGGGAAAGTGAAATTAATTACGGTACTGTTCTCAGATCAGAAATATATTCTTAGGAGAAATGTAATAAAATGTAATAATAAATAACAGTTGCTTAGAAAATGTCAATCTGATCAACCGCATATAACACTGAATGTAATAGAAGAAATATACAATACATAAAAATATGAAAGAAATATGGAAACATGTTCAAACAAACTTAAGCCTATTTGTCATGCATGGACTTTCTACATGCAGGGATGGAAAATTGATATGTCAGACCTGCCCCAATCCGATCCCTTAGGAAAGAAAAGCCTTAAAGTCAAGCCAGCTCTGAAATCACTGCGCTCACTGAGTGCAACATAAGGTGTAGGTTTGTCCCCAGCCCATCCCTCCCTCCATGACCAGTCCATTTCCAGCCCACCAGACCTCGCCAAGATGTTTTGAGAACTCTAAGATGTTTGGGGGCAATCTGCATACTTCTCAGGGTGCCTGGCTGTGAGATGCTGGTACAAACAGGATTCGGTTGCCCTGGTCCTTCTCACCTTTCATTCCCCCCTCCCGATTTCCTATCACATACACACAAAACTTTATTGCCCTTTTATCTTTCCTTCTTTCATTTCCCCCCTTCTTTTCCCTTTCATCCTTCTTCTCTTTATGGCAGGATGCCTGTGAGCAGGGCTTTTTTTCTCATAGAACGCCCTGAACAGAGTTCCGGCACCTTTTTGGGATGGAACCTTGTAGGGTAGGCAAGGTGGGTTGTATGACGTGTGTGAGTTCTGGCACCTTTTTTTTTTTTTTTTTTTTTTTTTTTTAGAAAAAAGCACTGCCTCTGAGGCCCCCCCCAAGCCGAGCCAGGCAGATCTGACATCAAGTTTCACAGACCACTCGTTTCAATCCTGAGCTACAAATATTCTCCTTTAAACTATTAATTATCCTTTTATCTCTTTGCTGGTTTTACACAGCAGTATAGCTACCCATAATAAAGAACTTTGCACGAGGGCTTCAGGGTGATACAGAACACTGGACAATATGAAATTAAAACTTCAAGGTTAACCACATAAGCAATCAATATATGGTACATCATGCAGCTACAGTATGACTCAAGGTCTCTGTTCTTCAGAAAAAGAGTCTAATGATCATTATTTACAAAGGAGGCGGGTGATCTACTACCTCTCTCCTTTAGTTTAATAAAATTCTACAATAAAAATGAGGAAATACCATGGTCCAAGTGTGTTTATAGCAGTAGGTGAAAAAGAAAACTGATATAGCTATAGGAAAAAAAACATTACATTTTAATAATTTATTCTCAGCTGGCTCAGTCCGAAACCAAATGAGAGCAATGAACAGGAGTGAGATAGGAGATAATAAAGAGCAGATCAGTCCATGGAAATCAATGTCATTATTTCTCAAATAAGAAATGTTATCGCATCTTACAAAGCACATCCTTAACCAGAGAGAGCAACACAGAACACTTTCTAGATGCAAGAAATGTCATCAGTTTAGAAAAACTTAAGATGTTATTGATCACATGTTTCAGTTTAGATTGTAGTCAGTGAAAACAGCACAATTCTTTGTGCTGATTTTGCGCTTTTTTCTTACTTCTGGCCATTGTTGTCTGATTAAATGTTTATGCATAAATCCAAAACATTGGTACTGGAGAGCTTGAAAGAAGGCCTTTTTTAATAAACACAATTATCCATCTCAAATTTTGGAATATGCAATTGATTGAAATTCTGTTACCTTAATCCCTGCAGTATTTCAGTATAACCCAGTTTCTGGTTCTTTTTAAAAAATGCGCAGAATTCCAAGACTTAATGTAAAAGGTTTTGTAAAATGATACTATATTCATTTACAGTCTTTCAGACATCTGTAATATATGCATATTTGTATATTTTCCCTAGTGTGCTGTCAAGAGTTAAGTAAATGAAGGAAAAGAGATTGTGGGGTTTTTATTGTTGTGCATTAGGTATCTGTAATTAATTTGCTTAACCAAATGATTACATAAGTGGTTACCCAAATTACATAGCTTCTAGGGAATATATACCATTTGCAATCTGGTTTTAGAAACAGTGGATTGATGGTTGAATGTCCAGGACAGTTAGCAGTCCATATTTCACAAAACAGCAAAGTTTACACTGATACAAGTGTTCCAAGGAGCTAAAACTTTTCTAACTTTGTTCCATGGTGCCCAGCCACTTGATTGTGAGATGGGAAAATATATAAAAATGATAAATAAATAAATAAAACCAGAATTCTAAAACAATTTCTTTTTAATGAAAAATTACTTTGCATCCTTACTAAAATAAAAATCATACCATCTTCTCTCTTTCCTCATTCTCCTTATATAAGAAACTTACTGAGGAATGTATCATGCAGGTAAAATAAAACTGACTTTCAATAATAGATCCTCTGAATGTATTGTGAACTTTCAGTTCTGAATTCTCCCCATTTCAGGAAAGCCTATTTTAGTTTGGCATCCCTGGAATCTTTCTGAATCGGCCAAACTGAATTCAGTGCATGTGACTAACTGAAGCATGTGTAAATACAAAGAAATGTTCAAGGAATATATATACTCACTAGAGCCAGTTTCATCTAGTAGTTAAGACTCCAGGCTAGAAAGTGGGAGATCATGAATTCAAGTCCTGCCTTAGTCATGAAAGCCAGCTGAGTAACAGTTACTCTCTCTCAGCCCAACCTACCTCATACGGTTGGTGCTGTGGGAAAATAAGAGGAGAAAGGTGGGTTGCATATTTTTGCCCGCCTTGAGTTATTTGTAAAAATAATAAAGGTGGGATACAAATAAATAAATGAAATGAAATAAAAAAAAATATGCATACCTAAAACTTCTTTTTGGAGATGAGCAGTTAACTTTGGATCCAAAGAGGAACCATGCATTATTTTTCCAAAGCTTCAGTTTTTTCTTATGTATGATAATGGATAAATCACTAAATTATTATGACATATTTATGTTTTGTGGAATTGGATGGAATTTAGAAGCCCAGATACTATCTCCATAAAATCTTATAAGTAGAAAGCGGTTTGAAATACTGAGTATTTAAAAGGGCAAGCCGTTCTCATCAGGGATTACTATTATAAATGTGCCCTTTCTGAAGGTCTGGCACAGATATTAGTATGATATGGTGAATAAACTATAGTTTTAAGGTTTAAAAAAATGTTCCATTGGGTCCCAAGTTCTAAAATTCTTGATGGAAAAATTAGATTACATTATAATACTGAACAGTGTGAGAATCTATAAACATGAATTTTAAAAATAGGATTTCTTTCCCCATCAATACAAACAATTTGCAGTATCTTTTACTATATCCTGTATATGTGCATTGTGGATACAACTGAAACTCTCAGATATATATTCTACTCTTTCAAACAATTGGGGACTGTGGGTGAGATTTGGAGAGTCAGAGCTCTTTCTTGCTCCCTGTTTTATGGACCTGAGAAGTGGACAACCATGATTTCTGGTTACCTGCAATTCAAATACCTGTTTTGTGGTCTTTAGCCCCTGTAAATTTGGTACCACCAAGTAGAATTCCCTTCCACATATAGACTGCAATCAGAAGTCTATTCTGACAATTGCTTCCAACTTACAACTTCTCCATTTTATGTTCCCTATATAGTATTCAACATCTCACCTTCTGAAAATGCATAAAATACAAATGTTCTATTTATTTCTCTCCCATCTGATTTTTTTTACCTTCTGTTAAATCCATCTGAAATATAGACACTGCAACTGATGGCAATAAAGTCACAGTAGATTAGCTTGGTTGACAAAGGAGGCTTTTATGTTTTTCTGGTTTTAAGGTCACTTGAGAGCCAGTTTGATGTAATGATTAAGGCATCAAACTAGAAACTGGGAGACTATAAAGTCTCCCAGCCTTAGGTATGAAGTCAGCTGGCTGATTCTGAGCTAGTTATTTTCTCTTAGCCCTAGGAAGGAGGCAAAGGCAAACCACTCTGAAAAATCTTGCCAAGAAAACTTCAGGGATTTGTGCAGGTAGTCTCCAAGAATTGAACATGATTGAACAGAAGAAAAAAACCAGGTTATTTAAGCCACTGAGTCCAACTACCTCTTGGACTCAGTGGCTCTAGGAATTCAAATTAATATGTCCAAGACCGAAGATGATGAGATGAGATGAGATGAGATGAGACGAGATAAGACGAGACAAGACAGGACAGGACAGGACAGGGTAAGGTAAGGTAAGGTAAGGTAGGATAGGATAGGGTAGGGTAGGGTAAGGTAAGGTAAGGTAAGGCAGAGTAAGGCAAGGCAAGACAAGATAAGATAGGATAAGTTAAGATAGGTAAGACAGACAAGACAAGATAAGATAATCTTTATTGTCATTTTTTACTGTGGGCACAACGGCACACATCAAAAATGAAATTTAATTGCCCGCTCTCAAAGTGAAACACATACATGACTCTTTCTGTTAATATTTTTTTTTAAGTTCAATCATGATCTGCCATCTTGTTATGAAATCTATTGCTCTGTGGAACACAACAGAATAGTGTGTGATCTCTCCTCAATTACCCTTTCTAAAGATATGTCCAGCTTCTTCAATTTCTCTTCGTAGGCCTTAGTGTCTAGTCCCCTGATCCTCTTCATTGACCTTTTTGGAGTCTGTTTAATTTCTCTGAATCCTTAATGTATGGTACTCAGAAGTAAACCTAGTATTTGAGGTGGAGATAATAAAATAGAATGGAGTGGGTTATTTCCTGTGAATTGGAAACTAAATATCTGTTGATGCAACCTAAAATTGCATTTGCCTTCTTTGCAGCCACATCACACTTTTGGCAATGAATTCAGTTTGCAATCAATTACTAATCCAAGATCTTTTTTGCAAGTAGGTATCCCACAACATATATCTGTGTATGTGATTTTGTTTCCTAAATGAAGAGATTTGCACTTGTCTGTTAAATTTCATTTTGTTGTTTTCAGATGATTTCTGCCACCTATCAAGATCATTTTGACTTTTATTTCAGTCTTCTAGGATATTGGCTATCCCATCCAAGTTTATATCTGTAAATTAGATAAGTGTTCCTATAATTTTGCACTCAAATCATTAATGAAATCATTAGCAAAGAATAGAGGATAGAGAATTAATCTTTATGAACCCCATTTGATACCGCTCTTCAATTTGATGAGGACCCATTGATCGACATTCTTTGAAGAAATTTGAGTCACTTATGAACTGTCATGCCATTCAGTCCATGCTTAGCTAGGTTGTATGGTAATTTTAAATCATGGATAAGTTTAACTAGTTAACCAGTTTAACTCCTTGCATGATTAAGTTTAAGCCATGGTTGAGTTTGAGCCAGCTACAAAATGTCCTGCCATTCAGGCCATGCTTAACTAGATTACCATATCATTGAGTAATTAATCAATGCTTTGTTGAAGTCAAGATAGATTGTGTCGGCAGCATGCTCACAATCTATTAAGGCAGCTTCTTGTTCAAAACATGAGGTAAGATTAGTCTGGCAAAATGTTTCAAGATCTGCTTTGTGATTTTCCCTTGTATTAGTTTCAGACTGAGTGGTCTGTAATTTGCTGGATTTTCCTTTTACCCATTTTAGTAGACATGGACAATGTCTGCTATTCTCTAGTTATTTGGTACTTTACCAATTCTCTAGTTTCTCAGATATAACAAATAAAAATTCAGCTAGACCACCTACTTCCTGACCATGTTTCTATGATTTTCAAGGTTTAATCCTGCCTCTGCTTCTGGTTCTATCAAATTTCCTGGTGGAACATATAGTTTCTTGTAGGAGAGGAAAAGGCTGAATCAAATTCATATCCATTAGGTGATGTCAAATTTGAGACAGTCCTGTAAAGAAGATTTGAAGAACACATTTTGTTGGCAAAAAAAAACAAAACAATCAACAACAAAAAAAACCAACCAATCATCCAAGAATCATCCAACCTACTGAATCATCCATGGATTTGTTTTCTTTTAAAATTCCTACATATATGGGACGGTGGCTTTTGAAAGCAAAATCTTCCCATCTTACCCACAGTGGGTTTGATCATAAGTGTACACTTATGTGTCCAATGTACACAATCATAACTGAAATCAGAAGGGCAGTGTTACTTCCTGTCTCTGTTTACACTTCATACTAAATTAAATCATGGCTTAGCATGATGTATGAACCTACTGTGTAGTTTAATCTTCCAGCAAAGAAGCTCTATATACCATCACTTTACTATAAATTAAAAACATACTTTGTTGATTAAGCCAGAAAGATTCCACAGACAATCTTCTGGTTAAACAGCAACAACCAAATCTTGGTTTGTTTTTTCTTACTTGTTGTTCCAAAATTCCATGGTGCACACACTACGCTGATCTAAAGAATATCCAGTTTGTGATTAGGGACAGTAAGGGTTGCATAGACAAAAAGGAATGTCACACTTTTGAAGAACACAACATTTTCTTTTAGAGTACTTCATATAGAAACTCAAATGGTTTAATCCTCCCCCCATCTTTTAATTTATTTCAAGACAACATAGGTTATAGGATGCCATTTGTTTCTCATATTTTGTTTGCCTGGTTGACTAAGAAAAGCTCTTCTTTTCAAACTCCTTGTAATTTTCCTGTCTTCTTCAGCCTCTCAGGTATTCTGGTTCCAATGGTTCATCCAAATGTTAGAGCACCAATGTCAGACTTTCCTGCACTCTTTCACTCAGATATGCGGCAGGAGCAGGAGTTTGGGATTTTTGCTTTTAATCTTTCTCCCTTCTGATTCAAAATATCAGAATCTCATAGTTTAGGGGAACTTCCCGCAACCTATTACTGTGCTGTGTAGGGAATTTCAGTAATGACATCAGAATCTAATTATCATCCTACTACCTCAGGCTCTTACAGAGCATGGCTTTAAAAGCAGGTTTGGTTTCAAGTTATTTTGGTGTTTGAATAACAGTATAGATTTGGCATAAAATATATTGGAATTGCCTTCCTCTTTGTGAATGAGTTATTAAAAGTCTAATGCTAAAAGCACAAGAAGGGATGAACAGGATCTGAAATACATACCTATTTTGGCCAAAACACATACTGGACTTTTCATTGAGGTCATCTACCTAGTTATGAAACTTTCAATATTTTGAAGAAACTACCAGTTCCAGGTCACAGCTCCAGAAACACTGATGGTCTCCATGCAGTAGAACCTCTTTGAGAGATGGTAATCTCACATCTACATATTCTCCTATTTGGTTCAGGTTTTGTGATGAACACATATGTACAATTTCATCTGGAAAGACACAACACCAAAACTAGGCTGCTGTGTTTCAGATCCTGATTGAGCACATCTGCCAGAAATTTGACCAATTATAATTTCCCAGGCCAAGTCCTTCTATAAAACCTGTATGTTGCCATGATTCCACATGGCTTCCTGGTTTCTTTCTTTCTTAAAAATATTACTATTATAATTTTGTTCTTGGTTTTCAGTGTGACTTGTATTCTGTAACAATAACCTTCTTAGTTCTAATATCCCTCCTACCCCCTCAGCAGTTGACCAAGCTCCACCAGTTGGCTATGCAGCAAACCCCCTTTACTCCCCTTGGACAGACCACCCCTGCTTTCCCTGGTACGTACCCAAATTCCCTTTACAGATTTCCTTCTCTTTTTACCTATACAGTTCTCTCTTTTTCTAAGCTTGGTTTCTAAGATTAAAAGAAACAGGATGTGTAATTGCAGTGGAATTAAGGGAGGACAAGAGGCAGACAAAGTTGAGAAAAAGTCAGGTCATATATTTGCAAGTTGTGTGTTGCTATTATCTGCTCTAAGACACCTATGTTATAACAGTCCTTTAGTCAGGAGGTAAGGATGCATCTGCACTGAGAGGCAAAGGTTAATTTCTCATACTGTCCCTGATTGTTTGTAATATTCTAAAATATACTACTAGGATTCAAATATACTAGATGACTAATGAATGCCTAGCATTTGAACCACTGCTTTTATGGAAAATGAAGACAAACCAGCCTTTTATCTGAGGCATCAAGTAGATTTCTAAAAATCATTTCTGATAAACTCAGAAATATTAGGAAAAGGGAATATTTTCTGCAGAAAACTAGGATGGCAGATAATATTTATATGTTACTGAACATATGTTTTAATAGCATTGCATTTGATTTGAATGGGAACTTGCTTTTTCTGCCATTTTGTTCATCATATTTTGAGCTTCCTAGATGAAGTGATATTGCTTCTCTCCTTGAAGGCAAAAAAAAAAAAAAAAAAATTAAGTGTGTTTCTTCTTTGCTCTTCAGGAGAAAAGCTGCCCTTACATTCCTCCGAAGAAGCTCAAAATCTGATGGGCCAATCCTCAGGTAAAATATATACAGGAAATACAGTCATATAATTCTTTTTGTCATTGCCAAAGTGATATATAAAGCAGCTGTTCTGATTATATTGATGGGATAGTTTTACTGATGTTCAGGAGGCAAGACACAGCACAATTATAATTATGATACTATAATAACAAAATGGCAGCAGTTAAGACAACCTGGACCTTTTTCAGAATAATTCTCCAGCAGAATGACATGTCACTGTTAAAATGGCTTCTCTTTAGACCTTAGCTCTTTCATCTTTTTGTTTCTCTTCAGCTTTTGAAATTGTTCTTCTTTCATCCCCAAATTTTGGTTTGGAGTAAACAGCATCCTTTCACTTTCCATCACACTCCATGCACTCTTTCTAAAGGAATCTGTGATTTAGCAGAAGCCATAACAAATTAAAGGCCAAGTAAAACCATTGTGCTCATCCTTAGATCCTAGCTTCAGTTCATAGAATGATTTTTGTATGTTTTGTAGCTGCATTAAAGACATTTGTTAGATACTATTAGAAAAGAATGAGCAAAATAAAAATAATTTCCATATAAAGACATCTGCATAAAAATATTTATTTCTTAATGTATCATTCTATAATCAAGATATCACTATTATATAAAATTATATAAAATTCTTACAAATGAAAGATTAATATTGTGCTATTATAACAATACAACATTTACCACAGCACAGTGTGTGAGGCTCATTCTCTATCAATCTGAAGATTCACATCATTTCTTAATTATTCACATAATTTCTCCTGGAACTAGAAATATCTCTGAAAATAAATTCAGCCACCAATAAATACATTTAAAATAAATTCAGATCCTCACATGTACCAGATCAAGTTCCGTAAAATCCTTATGGCTATATTTTATTGGTTTTGTTAAAAACTTTACAAATCAAATCTGTAACTTGATGGGTGCAGACTTCAGCATTACTAAGCTTCATTTCTGAGTTTCAGCAGACTGAACTGGTGTTTGTATGATTGCTTAATTGACACTCTTCTCTCATATCCCTGCTTATTTCTTCCCAGATAATGGATAACAGACTATGGCTTCTCTCCCATCCTTTTATTTTTGGTTTTTGATTAATATTGTGTATTATGCTGAACACTCTCAGCATCTAGCATGGAGTAACTTACCTTCAAACAATTCAGAAAGAGGCTCAAAACCAGATGCCCTTATTGAGCAGTATTACAAAAACAGTTTCAGGTTGATCCCAGCACAGTTCTGTAGATGTAAATCATATTAGTTTTAATGGAACATACTTCCAAATTTCTGTGGTTTCTCTGACACACAGCCTGCAAACTATCATTGCCATATGCCGTGCATACTGTTCCATTAAAGGAACACATTTTTTGCACTGTCATAACAAACTTTTTAGAATAGCATTCTCTCTTGGACAAACTACTGTCATTTTGTGGCTCTTTTTAAAAAGCAGAATTCCCAGGTTTCATGATGGCCAGTTTTTATTAGATATTAGACAGTGAATTCTAGTCCCACCTTAGACATGAAAACTTGACTGGGTGACTTTATTAGTTATAAAGTAATAAAGTGGGGTTTTGAAAAAAATCTATTATAAATAAATATTATTTGGGTTTTGAGCATATAACTATTTAGTCTACATTAACAAGTGATTAGGTCATTGCTTTCAACTCTGAAACATTTACTTTACAACATATTCCTGAGGGAACTATGTGGAATAAAGAATTAACTGTAGCAGTATAGTTCCAGTATTATTGTACATTTTAAAAAACACAGTTTTAGAAAACAGATTGTGGTGTCCACAGTTTATTGGCTGAAGTTCACATTTCTCTTTGGATCTCTGTAATTTAAGTACAAAGAATATGTTATCTAAACAGATGAAAGCATTTGTTCTACCATGGATTTAGTGTCTGTAATAATTTGTTTTCATACTTTACAAAAATATATAAATAATCCTTGCTATTAACTCTTAAGATCATAAGAAATTCCATTTCCCTACTAACAAAATATGTCTCTCATTCATGCTATATAATTCAAAGTAATTTTGCTATAAAACTCCATTATTTCACCAGAACTGGGTTTAAAATACAGTATTCTTCTTCCTTGCAAATGGCATCCATACACAATGAGTAGCATAGAAGATATTAATTAATCCTTTCGGGGGGGGGGGAGCAATTTAAAATAACCACTGTATCATAGTTTGCCTCCTAAATAGCCACAAGTTCTCCCTAATATTTCTAAGCAGCTGTATCTTTTATTTTATTGACCAACAGTAACATCTTGAACACTGAAAACTGAAAATGCAGTATAGGCCAGCTTGTTTATTCCAAAAGGCAGAAAAAAATGAGGTGAGGATATCAGTATTCAAAGAACACAACATCACTGCATTAGAATCTACTGAATTGTTATCTAGTGAAATATTACAGCAACTGCTTTTAGAGCTCCGTTTTTTTATCTGTTATATATTGAAACTTCAACCTTCCTTCCCTTTGGCTTTAGTGCAGTCTGGAGATTCTCAAGATCTGCTATTTTGGTGAAATGCCATCAAAAGTGCAATATTTCAAGCAATAACCATTTTCTCTTGCATATGCTCAGGTTTGGATGCCAATCCCCCAGCCAGTACTCATGAACTCACCATTCCCAATGATGTGAGTATTGCATGTCTTGTTCTGCTTATCATTTGATAAATGTACTGTGTGTAGCCAACCATGACTTCTCAGTGATATGGTGTTAAAAAAGCCCCTTTGTTAATTTTAGGCAATTTCATTTGTGGACAGATAAAGCTATTAAACTGAGAAATAAAACAAAGATTTTGGGAGGTCTGCTTTTGCTACCTTTCTTGGTGCTTGGAAAATTTGCTTGATTAGCATCCCTGATAAACATTTTTTGCTTGAGTCAAAGACTCCAGTTTGAAAGATCTGCCACTTAAAGCTGGATATCTAAAGCCTCCCATGCTACCATATTGAATGAGAGGGGGATTGTTTTCCTCACCCCTCCCAATCCCTTCCCATTATGGCCCTTATTTTGTGATGGAAAGATCTGTTATATATCGTAAGTACTCTTATGATATATTAGAATAGTTCTTATTCATTGGAATGATGTTCATGTAAATGTCATAGTCCTATATTTTAGACACAAACATACAAAGCAACTCAAACCACTTGATTAAAAAAGAAATCAAATATATTGTACTTCTTTTGAAATTAAAGAAATTGTACTCTTACTAAGTTTTTTAAAAGCCCAATTGTGGTTTTTTTTCTTTGTTTTTCATATTCCTGAACTGCCCATTTCTCTTGGGGAGGGAGTCTGGATGGTGTACTACAAAGTATTAAAATATAAAAACAGTACGAAAAATTTAGAGAGAGGCAAGGAGGATAAAACTTTGTTAGAATTAATTAAAAGGTAGAGGGAGGGTTCTCAGGGCATAGCCAGTCCCACAGCTGTGCACTCCTCCTCCGGACTCCACGGGCAAGGCTGCAGAGCCATATTTTAACTTCTTTTCAGAAGGCCATGAAGGTGGGGGAAGAATATTCCATTGGGCGGGGGCATGGTCAAAGAAGGCTCTCTTCCCAGACCCCACCCATTGGATTTCTTAGGCTGATGGGGTCTGCAACATATTTTCCCTGTCTGACTGCATGGGACAGAACGATGTAATGTATTTACTTTTTATAGAATACAAAATACGAAGTCTCCATTCCAAGGTATAATTTTTATTGTTATAGAATGAAACAATCTATGTAAAATGATTGTAAAAAAGATTCTATTAATTAATAATAAACCCAATAGGTGTTTCAAGTTGTTTTAAAAGTTAAATGTTATAAACCATTGTTCCATTAACAGTGGCCAAAATAATGTATAAAGTGAAATCATCTCTATGATCTAAATTAAGGCATCTATACAGAGAAATGAGGATGGATATTATTACATGTACAATAGAATTATATATTCTAGGTTTAGCTATAGTATTGAAAGGAATAGACATGAAATGGCATGGGTATTTTCTTGAAGTGTTTAAGTATCTTAATTTATCCTGCATTAATCTATGAAATGAATTGTCTTCTAATCTTGCCTTAGGCATGAAGCCAGTAGCCACCAATGTGGACAGGCAATTGGTTGGGAATGTGTGAAAAGATTAGCAATTTAAAGAAACAGCCATCCCTCACAGTGTACAGATAATCCCCAAGTTACAAGCATTCCCTTAGCGAATGTTCGAAGTTACACAATAAGCGACCCCAGTGTTTATGAAAAAGTCCCGAATTTACAAACAGCAGTCATTCACCCTTATGAACAACCGCAATGTCACTGCAGCATTCACTCTGGCTATTCCCTCCCTACCCCACCCCCACCCCTGGTCTCCCTAGTCACTAGGCCTTGGATACTAATCTTGCAAAGATCGAGATCCTTTACTTTTTTAGCTGCACCAGGTCTTCAGTGCATTTGCAGAGAATGGAGACCTAAAGTAATACAAGATCACGTGAGATCAGTGGCACGAGATCTCATGCTACTGATCTCATGTGATCTCATGGTACTTTCTCTGCAACAGAGAACAGAACTGAAGCTGGTGGAGGCTTCCACATGCCTCCGGAGGCCCAATCCAGGCATCAAAGGCCATTCTGGGCTGCTGCCACCTGGAAAGGAGGCCAGGGCATGCTTCTGGGGATCTCCAGAGGCCCAATCTGGGCATTGGAGACCTTTTCTGGGCCACTTTCACCTGGAAAGGAGGCTGAGGGACGCTTCTCCTGACCTCCGGAGGCCCAATTTGGGTGTCGGAGGCCCTTTACAGACTGCTGCCACCCAGAAAGGCCTGTTTCTTCACTAGGTCCCCCATGGCCTTCCTCACCCTGAGATATCTCATGTTCACTTAACAAGCCATGCATTTACCCAGGTACAAGATTCACTCCTATGGATCCTCGAGTTACAAAATGGAATGAGCATGCTCCATTACATTCGTAACTTGAGTACTAAAAGCACTGATAGCACTATATACTTAGACTTATATACTGCTTCACAGTGCTTTACAGCACTCTCTAAGCAGTTTACAGAATCAGCATATTGCCCTCAACAATCTGGGTCCTCATTTTACCAACCTCAGAAAGATGGAAGGCTGAGTCAACCTTGAGCCCTGTCAGGATCAAACTCCAGGCTGTGGGCAGAGTCAGCCTGGAATACTGCATTCTAACCACTGAGCCACCACAGCTCCTAATGATAATGATAATAAACTGTTAGAGAAAATTTCCATAGAATAAGTATAATTAACTTTCAGAATAGACCTAATTTAAAGTATGCTTGACTATAGCTTTGAAACTCACTAGTTGTGAGTTTCTCTAGCTGTCATTTGACTTGAAATAAATACAAACCTATAAAATAATAGATTTCAATGCAGGATGGCAAGCCACAGTGCCATGGTGATTCTACTAAGACAAAGCCTGAAATGAACAGATTATTACAATAAGAATAGTCTCCCTATCTTAGAGTTTTTCCAAGTTGCAGTTTTAATTCTAACACAGTGGGTACCAAAAGGCTCCGTCTTAGGCCCAGTACTCTTCAATATCTTCATTAATGACTTAGATGAGGAAATAGAAGGGGAACTCATCAAATTTGCAGGTGACACTAAACTGGCAGGAATAGCCAACACCCCAGAAGACAAGCTCAGGATCCAAAAAGATCTTGACAAACTTGAACAATGGGCCCTATCCAACAAAATGAGTTTTAATGTGAGAAAAGCAAAGTTTTACATTTAGGCAGAAAAAAAAATCAAAGGTTTAAATACAGATTAGGCAAAACCTTGCTCAAAAACAGTAACTGTAAGAGGGACCTTGTAGTCCTAGTGGACAATCACTTTACCATGAGCCAGCAGTGTGCAGCAGCAGCCAAAACAGCTAATACAATCCTGGGTTGTATAAACAGAGGCATAGAATCAAGATCATGTAAAGTATTAGTACTGCTTTATAAAACCCTAGTGAGACCACACCTGGAATACTGCAACCAATTTTGGTCACCATACTACAAAAAAGACTTGGGTTTGGCTAGTCTAAAGAAAAGAAGAAATAGGGGGGACATGATAGCAGTATTCCAAGGTCCCTTCCAGTTCTATTCTATTCTATTCTATTCTATTCTATTCTATTCTATTCTATTCTATTCTATTCTATTCTATTCTATAACAAGGCATCTATGCAAAAGAAGAAGGTCAGCAAGTTCATCCACTGTACTCCATATCAATGTAATTTAAACCAGAGTAGAGTAGAAAAGCAGAATATACAAACATAATTTTTTGGAAAGCAAAGGGCCTCCATCTAGGGATGACTAAATCCAAGTATAATGTTCCATAAATACAGTTTTCTTAGAACAGTTTGGGCTTCCTAGTTATATGACCATAAGGTTCCAGGCCACATGTTAAGACAGAAGATTTAATTGATACTGAACTCCTTCATGTCAAAAATTTCACATTCTAAGATACTAATGAGCAAACATGTCCAGCAAACATAGCTTATTCCTGTACTTAATTAACTCTAACTGGAAATTCTAAATGTTCACTGAAATTGCAGAAATACAAATATGCATTTTTTTCTTCAGTATGTCTTAGCTCAAGAAAATCAACAATTTAGATGCAGTTTGTTCTTTCTTGAAATCCACTTGTTCTGTCAGGTTGTCTGTCTGTCTCTCTCTTTCTCTTTCTGCCTCCTGTATCTATCTACAGGTAGTCCTCAACTTACAACTTCCACAATTGAGCCTGGAATTTTGGTCATAAGTCATTTTGATCATAAGTTAAGTGACCATGTGATTGGACTTGATTTTATAAGTTAAGTGACCATGTGATTGGACTTTATTTTATTTTATTTTATTGTATAATTTTTATGATGGTCATCAAGCAAGTCCTTAACAAATTAAGTGGTCCTAAATCTGAATCCAGCTTATCCAGTAGGCATCATTTGTCTTATCCAGTAGGCATGCTTTGCCCTTCTTTTGGCCAGAAAATGGCAAACCAACCTTTGCAAAACACAATCATGGGATCATAAATGTGAGCTAGTTACCAATCAGCCAAAATGCAATCAAGTAACCATGGGGGTGGTGCGGCAGTCATAACTGCAAGGACAGGTTGTAAGTAACTTTTTTGAAATCCATCATAACTTCAATAAGTCAACCAGTTGAGGACTACCTGTAACTATGCTTCAAATTGCAAAATAAATAGGAAGTTGATATTAGTCTTAAAGATTGCTTCTTCAGGGCTTTAATGCGCCAATAGATAATTTTAGACCCCCACAATCCCTTGTCACTGGCAATTCTCACATTCCATAAATCTGGATAATCAAGTTTTAGCAAAAGACAATGCAAATGTTTAAAACATTTTTGAAGAGCAAAACTTCTGTTTAATATCGTATGAAATCGTAATGGATATTGCTATATTTGAGTCGTAGCTTGAGAAGTCTTTTGTTTGGCCAGTTGTTTTTTTTAATTTGTCCATTAAGAAGTTTTTCGCTTGGCTTTCACTTTCCATCCTTTTTCTGCTTGTTTTTACATCTAAACATTTAATTTATGATTATATGTAGGATGGTTGAATGTTTACTGTTGTTATTTATATTACTAAATATATATTCCTGTTTTATAGCAGAGGCTGATGAATGATTGGTTTTCTCAGTTGTGCTTCTGACCACTGACTCATTTTTGCTCCAGGCCAAATGCTTCAAGAGAAAAAAAATAAACCCACAAAAGAAAATACTGAAAAAACAAATGGAAATAATAAAACATAAATTAAATTTAATGGGATCAGAAAAATTGGCACAGCAAATTAAAAGAGCAAAACAAAAAAGTTTTGAAAATGCAAACAAACCAGGAAGATGGTTAGCCTATAAATTTAGAAAACAGAAGGAGAAAAAAATTGATAAATAATTTAGTAGATGAGAAAGGCTCTTTATAATTTAAAAATGAAGAAATAAAAAAGATAATTAAAGAATACTATGAGAAACTGTATGACATAGAAGAAATTCCACAGGAGAAAATGATTCAATATCTGGAAAAAAATAATTTACCAAAAATTTCAGAAAAATTTAAAATCATGTTAAATGAAAAAATAACAATGATGGAATTAACAGAGGCCATAAGAAGACAAAAAAATGAAAAAATACTGGGACCAGATGGGCTACCGGCAGAATTATGTAAATGGCCTACAAGACACATTAAGTGCACCGTTGAAAGATGTGTGTAATGAACTTTTGTTGGAAGCTAAAATTCCAACTACATGGATAGATGCAAATATTACTTTAATATCAAAAGAAGATTCAGATTTGACTCAGATAAAAAACTGTATATCGATATCATTACTAAATGTGGATTATAAAAAATTATTTCAATAATAGCAGAGAGATTGAAAAGATTTTTAACTGAATTTATACATCCAGATCAAGATGGTTTTTACCAAAGAGACAAATTAAAAATAATTTAAGAGTTATGATGGACATATTGGAATACTATGAACTGCATCCAGGGAAACAATTGACACTAATATTTTTAGATGCCCAAAAGGCATTTGATAATGTTTCCTGGCAACAACTAAAAATAATGGACTTTGGACAAAATTTATAAATATGATTGAAACAATATACCACAAACAAATAGCAAAAGTGATTGTGAACGGAGACTACAGAGAGACTTTTGAGATAAGAAAAGATACAAGGCAAGGATGTCCACTATCTCTATTGTTATTTATCTTAACTTTGGAAGTTTTAAACAGAAATATTAGACAAGATACAGAAATTAAAGGATAGAAATAAAAGGTGAAACTTAAAAATTGCAACCATTTGCAAATGACTTGGTATTTATTTTAGAAGAACCTTTAGAGATGATTCCTAAACTATTGGAAAAAATAGAACAGTATGGAGAGATAGCAGGTCTGAAAATAAACAGAGAAAAAACTAAAGTGATAGTTAAAAATCTCACAGATAAGCAAAAAAATGTTAGAAAAAATAGAACTACAAATAGTTTAAAAGGGTTAAATACTTGGGAATATATTTAACAGCAAGATGTTCAACGATAAAAGAAGATAACTATATAAAATTATTGAACCAAATAAGATTAGACCTGGAAAAATTGGAAAACTTGCAATTGTTGATGTTAGGAAGAATTGCTACAGTGAAAATGAATATACTACCAAAAATACTGTTTCTGTTTCAAACAATACCTATAAAACTAGAGAAAAACTTTTTTGAAGACTTAAATTCTTTAATTTTGAAATTTATTTGGCAAGAACAGAAAGCTAGAATTAAAGTGAAAATGCTACAAGAAGCTAAGGAAAATGGAGATTTTGGCTTGCCAGAGTGGGTTTTATATTATCAAGCATCTGTATTACCATGGGTAAAAGAATGGATAACTCTCAGAAACAAAAGGTTGTTACATTTGGAGGGACATGATTTACAACTTGGTTGGCACGCCTTTTTATGGTATGGCAAAAATAAAATGCATAAGTACTTTCAGAACCACTATATAAGAAATGCATTACTATTAATATGGGAAAAAATAAAATGTAAAATATATTTGAAAATACCAGGATGGCTTTCAACAATGGAGGCATTTATAGATCCAAATTTAGTTAACTTTGAGAAAATATGGACATATAGAGATATTCTAAATTCTGAAGGGAATTTAAAATCTAAGTAAGATGGAAAATCAGGGTATAGATCTATCATGGTGGACATATTTATTAATGCAAGTTAGATATGATAAAGATGTCAAACTGTATGGATTTTATAACCCTTGTTTGATCAGATATTATTAAATTCGGATGAGAAAATAATTCAGAAAATGTATAAATTTTTATTGAATTTGAAAATGGAAAATGAACAAGTTAAAGACACAATGATAACATGGGCAAAGAATTTTGGATATAACATAGAATTAGAAAAATGGCAAAACTTGTAGGAAAGAAATTGTGGTAGCTTCTTACAAAAAAATGTATATAAAATGTTTTATAGATGGAACTTGCCACCAGCAAGATTGGCAAAAATGTTTAAAAATATGTCAGATAGATGTTGGAAATGTAAACATAGGTCAGGTACTTATTATCATGTGTGGTAGACATCTGTTGAAGCAAAGAGGTACTGGAAAAAATACATACTTGGCTAAAAAAGATGTTGGGAAAACATGTAGATTTTAAACCTGATCTTTTTTTATTAGGTATTATGCCAGAAAAGATTGATAAACAAAGTATATTTGATTTTACATGTGATAACAGTGGCAAGAATCATATTTAAACAATATTGGAAAAAGGAAGAATCATCACCAGAGGAAGAAATAATTAAAAAAATATTAGAATGTGCAGAAATGGACAGACTTATGAGGTTGAAAGAAAAAGAAGAAATACTATCACAGTTGGGACTTGTTTTATCAATGGCTAGAGAAAAGAATAAAGGATTAGGAATTAAATTTGTATTAGTGAATGATACTCAGACAACACATTGTTGAATAAGTACTATTGAATGGAAAAATTACTAAAAATTTTACACAAAAAAAGAAGAGAGAAAAGCCTAATAGTGAGTTCTTTGACCATTAACGAAGCAACTGATATGCCCTCCTATCCCAGTCACTTCCTCAGAGCAGAAGCCCCCACTCTATTCTGAGCACATAGGGAAGAGAAAAAAGAGTTGTTTGGTTTATGTGGGTGACAGAAACCAAGAGAGAGCTAGGATAAAATCTGGGCTTGCAAAACAAACACTCTTTGGAATTGTATTGTAGAAAACAAAATGGAGAGATCCTTCAGGCCTCACCATCTGTATGTTATGATACAAGCAAAATGGGGCATGAGACTGATTGCAATGGGGGGTGACTATAGGTGCTCAGATTTCCGCTTCTGGGAATAAGTTTAGTGTTCCATCGTGGAGCAATGCAATCCCTAATCAGCCATAGGAGATAGGAATATTTGGTACAGTATGTTTGCTGCTTTGAGTTACATATAAAAAGGCAGAATAATTATTAATAATAATTAATAATATATTTTTTTCAGCTTGTATATAGGAATGCCCATATTTGCTATATGTCTTTTTCCAGCATAACAAAGCATACTTGGCCTGGTGAATCTCACATACATAGTTAGAAATAACATTTTAAATAAGGAAACATCTAGGAAGATTTCTGTCTTAATAATTCCTAGCTTTCTCTAGCCATTGAAGAGGCAGTGCAGCTCTAATCTTAGTGATTAGTGATATGTTTCCACAGGTATACTTTGGTAGTACTAAAAAACAGTTGTTTGAAAATCTCCCTGTGTGATTTTATAGGGAGCATAGTTACAGCATATTGTTAGTAACAAAACAAAAGAGAAACTAATACTGAGATTTCTAATAAGCTTTGTGTTATTTGTTGTTCACAATTCTTAATACCATAAGAGTTAGTTTAAGAAAGTCCTAATAACTTTTTTCCTAGTTAATAGGCTGCATAATTGGACGCCAAGGGACCAAAATTAATGAAATCAGGCAGATGTCTGGAGCCCAGATCAAAATTGCCAATGCCACAGAAGGCTCATCAGAGCGTCAGATCACCATCACAGGAACCCCAGCTAACATCAGCCTTGCTCAATACCTCATCAATGCCAGGTGAGATTTCCTCCCTCAGGCCCTCATTCTTATTTTCATCAACTTGTGTTCATTACTGGTAAAATACGCCCAAGTGGCAATAATGCTCATAGCATGTTCATTTCCACTGCATCTCAGAATTTCCAGGAAGTAAATTTCTTTAGAAACCTATTTCTGCTGAATATGGTGCACAGCTAGCTTGCCCCCTGTGGTGCACCTTGGAAAGAGGGCAAGCGTGAACCAAATGGGCCAGAAGTCTTAGCCAGTCAAACTACTACTCTTTATTAGTGTTGTAATCTCCTGGCTAATGTAACATCACCATACAGTAAATAAATAAATCTGGTGAAGACAACTCTTAGGAATATCCTAACTATTTTAGCTGAAATAAAATCTGTTAATATTTGTAGCAATGTAGATAGTTCTGTGGGCATCCTATAGATTAATGTAGTGATGTTAAAATTTCCAAACAATGGAAAATGGTCTGGACATAAAAAGGACTGGATATGAAAATAAAATATTAATATGTGCTGATGATATGTGTTACTGATCATTATGAATGCTGTCTAGCAAACTTATTGATATTGTGCAACAATTCAGTAAATTATCAAATTATTCAATTAATTGCATTAAATCAAATACTTCTCTCCTTTTCTTCTTTTCCAATTTATAGCCATTATTTTTCCTTAATTCATCATTTTATTGAGCCAGACATGTCATTTCATTTTAACAATATTTTTTACAAATAAAAAATGCATTAACAGTAAAATTAAAATAGCTGTTCTTTTTCATAATAAGTTTATTAATTACTAGTCTACATAGATAAGAGAAAAATCTGTTAAACATATCTTTTTTGCTTCCAATCTTAGCAATTAAGGGATTAACACAAGCATTTCTGAGGAATTAGTACTATAAATTTAATTTTGATCATTAAATATTTTCATATACAAAAGCATAAAATAACTGAAGCTTTAAACAATTTTTCCTTCCCAAGAGTTTATTTCCCATAACCATAAATGTTGACTTCTACTACCTGCAGGTTATCAGACTTAGTGTAAGGACCCTTCAAAACTTCGTCCCAAGAAAGCAGAACTCTTGGAATGGAGTCATCCCAAAAGGAACTTTTATTAGGAGAAGTTGACAGCAGGCATAGAAGGCAGGATCTGAGGGTTTCCTGCTCAAATCAATAGATTAAAGGAGCAAAAAGCAAAACCCACCCCAATAGTTCATCCAGTCAGTTCAAACGGGCCAATCCCCAGGTGTTAAGTCCACTGTGGGAACAAGGCTGATAAGACTCCTTTCCCAAGGCTGTGAAAACATTGTTAGGTCTTCACACCTTCTCTTCCACAACAAGACATAAACCAGATGGCCGGAGACACATTCCTTTCTCATCCCAGGTTGGCATCAAGGGGAGAACAGTTCAAAGAGAAAGTAGATAGAGGAAGCAGAGAGAATACATTGTAGCAGATAAGCGAAGGGACAAGATACATAACAATTCCCCAGAGGTCTCCCCCTCCCCCCAGGAGTATGGCAGAACCCACAGAAGGAAAAAGAAAAAGACCCATCTAGTAAAATCCCCCCATCAAAGAAATGGGTTCTGACACTTAGTTTTTTAGATACTATTATAAATAATGATCACTATAAGTCATTATTTTAATAGCACTTTTGCTGTCATATATCAAATAATATGCTTATTTGATATTAAATTTATTTGAATATGTTCTACTTGGACATTTTTAAGTTAAAAAATAGATTAAAAATATACTTGGTTACACATGAGTTTGTTTGGCATTGTTTTGTGTTGTAGTTAATAAATGATTTCCTAGGAGCCATACTGACAGTTGAATTGCAAATTATCTATTTGCAAGAACTTTGGAACAGTGTTGGAAAACTCATATTAAATCAATGGATAAGGAATTAAAAGAATATCATGAATGTTTCTGTCAACGCTGTCACAATAGATGTCAACGCTATGACAACTGAGAATCAGCAGCCATGTTACCTTTGCTTTTAGAGTGCCTTTTACTGTTTTGAAGTTTAGATGTAGAAGGGGGGGAATGGGGTAAATGCTTGAGGGTTTAGTTAGCCATAACAACTGCAGCTGTGTGGGAACTCAAGGACATTGCTTGATAAAATTTTGGTGGGCTGAGGAGCTGGGAAGAAAAGCCCGTGTTTTGCGTTAATTGGAGAATGTGATTTCTGACAGCTTCCTTGGGGTGGAAATTGCAACTTGTTACTTTGTATCTGGGGGGAAGGAATATCAGTCTTGGGTTCAACTATGTAAGTGCTGATACTTTGTTTCCTGAATAAAATGTTCTTTAAGGAAGAAATCTTTGCCTTGAAGTTCTTTTAATGGGTTTTATCTATAGGAACCATGACATTAACTCAAGACTCTAACTCTCTTTAATCTTGCGGGGTCCTGAGCTCCAGTTGCCTACCCAATGTAGGAGGGAGGCTGACAAAGACTCGGGGGAGATCCCAAAATGGAGAAGAAAGAGAAACCCATCACTGGCACAGAGAAGGAGAAACCTGTCACTAGCACCGCAACCACAACTACTACATCGGTGCATGGAGTGCCGGCTATTGCACTGATAGAAAGTGTAATTTCAGATTCTCCAATGGCAGGGGCGAGACCAAAAACCCAGGAGCTCATCTGGTGATCTGACTGGACCCTGCCTAGTGGAGACTCGAAGTGTTCAGAAGCGGGCCAGCCAAAGGGAGGTTCTTCAAAAACAGCCAAAGTTGAATTTTCACTGCCTGCACCACAAAGAATACACTCTCCTGATCATAAAGGGGCTAAAAGCATGGCACTGTTGGACGACTCAGACGAGTGGGAGTACTTGACAGCAGTACAGAGCCAGCCAGCCAAGCACCTTAGGGAGATATTTGAAGAGCTGGATGTGGGAAGCAAGGAGCACGCCACCCGTCCATTACTGACCAGTGAATGGAATGATGACTGTTGCCGAGACCGTCCCCAGGCCAGGAGAAATCCTAGCCCCATGCAAGGAGCCAAAGCAGCTTCCCCACCTTCGAGGTCACCAGTGTTGGCCTCAAGCCCAGTGCAGAGAAGTCTGAACCATCAGCAGTGGTGTGCTAGCCCTGATTGTCACCAACAGCCACTGACAGCCCTAAATGCCGAGAATGGAATGTTAGCCCTGAGTGCCATCACCCCTATGAGAGTCCCGATCGTTACCCATGTCGCCGCAGCCCAGACTATCCCAGCGCAGGGAGAGCCCTGATCGTTACCGAAACCGGGACAGCCCTGACCGTCACTATTACCAATGAAGCCCTGAACTGCATCACCAGCGACATAGCCCTGAATAATATCCCTGGTGCCATGCCAGTCCCGAGGTCTTTCCCAGGGGGGAACAGGCAAGAGGTTTCCAACACGACCTGATGCAGCAGTATGGGTGAATGCACAATCTACTAGACAGGCAGCAATGCAGGGCTGCTCTTCCTTTTAAAGCTACATTTGATGGGGACCCTGAGAAGTTAAATTTCTTTTTAAATCAAGTGCATTCCCATGTGAACCGCAATGCCGATGCCTATCTAGATCTGGCAGCAATGGTTGATGTCATCACAGCTAATCTGGAGGGAGAAGCTTCTGAGTGGCTTAATAGTCTGCATAACGAACAGGCACCTGAGCTATGGAATTTTAACCTTTTCATCTGGGGATTAAGAACCCGATTTGAAGATGAATCCATAGCCCTGCCAGCAGAGAAGGACATTCACAAAATGAAGTAAGCTGGCAGACCAGCGAAGGAATATATGCACGAATTCAGAAGAGTCGCAGGTCTTATTGAACAGTGACCAGAATGGTCCCTAGTGCACCATTTCAAGAATGGCCTGGACTACAATCTATTCCAAACGTGCATCTACCGGGGAATTCCTGACCAATTACAAGAATGGTACCGGATAGTAGTGAAGATGGATGTCGAGCTAACCCATTATACAAAGTCTACGACTCCTGGGGTGGCTCCGAGACCAGAACCTGCTTAGACGACCACCTCCCTGTCAAACCCCAGCAATGAGAGCAGCTGAACTCCCCAAATCTTCTTTGACACCTCCGATCAAGTGTTTCAGGTGTGGCCAGCCAGTCATCAGGCAGCGGCTTGCCCAGTCCCATTGCCCCAGCAGAGAAGCAGACCAGGGCCGCTGAAGAAGAAGAAAACTGCCCAGCAGCCGACCAGAGAAAAGTCAAGCTGCATCGCACAGAAACCTATGGCCCAGGTCACCTCGCCCACGCAGGAGAAGGTCGAGACTCCAGCTGATCGACCACTGCACTGGCTCCCTACAACAGCAAAGATGAAGGAGAAAACAACTCAATGGTGAGTCAACCCATTCCACCGTTTTCCCTCGCTGCCAAGCTCATAGTCCCTAAGACATGGGTACAAATGGACTTAAGGGTGCTAGTGGACTCAGAGTGTTCCCGGCGCATTATCCGCCTGCCAATTGCCCTTAAAATGGGCATACGAGCAAGGTTCCTCTCCAAACCTATGAGATTTGAACAAGCAGATGGATGTTTAATGGGAGGAACCCTAGTCACCCACCTAACTGAACCAGTGAGGTTAGAAATAGGTGAACGTTGGGAGCTCATCCGATTTGTGGTGGCTTCGAAAATTATTGAGGCAGTGTTTTAGGTCTAGCTTGGCTGGATAAGTGGAAGCCTTTCATTTGGTGGAAGAAGGGGATGAGGACCATGAGATTACCCATAGAGCCAAATCCCCCTCGTGACTTTTCTAACATGAGCAGACAACCAGATCCACCAGCAAAAACAATGAAAGTAGCCACCATCCCCCTACCAGGGGAACCACTCATCCCCAGTGAATATCGAGACCTTGCAAAAGTGTTTAGTGAAAAGGAATGTGATATCCTACCACCACACATACCAAATGATTATGTCATTGAAATAATACCAGGAGACAAGTTACCAAAACCAAAAATGTATGCCATGACCCCCCTCAAAGTGGACGAACTACGACAAGAATTTGGCCAGAGGTTTCATTGAGCTGGCTAAATCTCAAGTGGGGGCTCCGGTGCTATTCAAGGAGAAAAAAGACGGGTTGCTGAGGCTCTGGGTGGATTATAAAGGGTTAAACTGTGTGCGTGTGGAGAATAAATACCCCCTTCTGCTCTTTTTTTTAAAAAAACAAATTTTATTAGTTTTTTAACTCTTACAACAAAGTGCTCGGGACACACCGTGGTGCTGGGGTAGTCAAATATCCAACAATAAATCCATATAAAATAACCCAAGTAAATACATTAAATATTCCCTTCTATTTCCCTCAAATAATATAATATATTTAAAATAATCTATTTCTACATTAAATTTCTATAAATCCTAATCCTGTTTTTAAACTTTATTAATTTACAATTACCATAATCCATATTAACCTTAAATAAACATATTATCACTTCGGGTATCCTTTCCAGATGTATTCTAGTTCTTAATCTCCTAAATCCTTAATTTTATCACAAATCTCTTCTTCCACTACTCGATATTTATCCTAATTAAAATAAAATATAACTCTACCCTATACATATACTATCCATCAATCAGTCTATCTCTATAACAAAACAAAATAATACCAAACCTTAAACCATTTCAGTCCATTAGGCAAAATTCAAATCTCGTCCAAATAGTTATCATATCTAGAAACACGCATATTATTACACAAAGCATCATCTTACTAAATTAACATACTCAATTAATTATTAAATCAATCCAAATCACTATAAAACCTCTTCCATTTTCATTCATTCCATTACAAAATAGTTTTCATACAAATAAACCTATTATTCCAAAAATTACATTCTTAATCTATTTGACACATATATTCTAGTAATCACAATTTTTCTCTCGCTTCTAACTCTAAGTCTTAAACTTTAAATCAATCCGTATTTCTACAGTGCCTTTTAATCCATTACATATAGTTTTAAATTTCTCTTTTCAGTCTTATTCTGGCTTTCTTTTTGTGCCAGGCCAGTTTCCATAACAAAGCTTCTATCTCAGCAAGTAGATCTCCCTTTGTCGCTTGTAATATCATTTGAATCAATAGAAAACACACCGTCCTGTGTAATGGGCATGTGGCTCTTTTGTCATTAAACCCTTGTTGCTTAAAAAGTTCCAGTCTCAATCTTTGGTTCTTCTGATCCTCAAGAATATGGATGGAATGCTTGTAAGGTAAAATAGATTCCTCTTTAATCTCAATTAGTTCTTCTTCTGGTATATTTTGATTTATAGCATAGTCAGATGAGGTCTGGAGATCAATTTGAAGGTTTGGAGAATTTGAAGTAAGGCTTCTGGCTCTTATTTCTGTAATAATCTCTTTCATTTTAGCACATACTTATTCAGTAGCTTCGTAAATTTTTTCCACTATAAGTTTACAGTTTAGTTGTAAATAAGATTTCTCCATTTTAGTAGTAGTTGAAGAGAGTCCCTTTTATCATTTAGTGGAGGCTATATAAAAACAATATCCACCCCCACAATTTCCCACAGCTGGATCAGCTTATCTTTTCTCTTCAAGAATAGTTTGAAGTCAAGCCCACCTCATCTCCAAAGAAAAACAGATAATTGCAATATTATCTTTTTGCCACAAGGTGTCCTCAGTAGGTTACAAAATCTTTCCCAGACACCATTTTTTTCTTTTTCTCTCTCTTTTAAAGGAAAAGATGGAAAAAAATATTCTTTCAGTTTAAAGTGATAGTAAAGCTCTAAAAAAATTTTTTTGTACCCCAGAGTAAATGAAAATAAAATATAGTCATTGAAATTATTTGTTCTGTCTTTTTATTCAAGCACCTTTCTTCCCATGCTCTTTCAAGGCAGGGAATTAATTCCAACAGAGCTTTTACATGCAAAAAATCAAGTAGGGTGAAGAGAGGAGAAGGAGAGGTCTCACCCGGATCATCCACAGTGGGTCTTTCACGCTTAGATGTACCTGTGACTTTCAGCTGGTGCAGCTAAGGAATCGGCCATATTGCAGGACAATCTTTGCTCCATCGGCAGGAGTTAAGGAGTTAGCTGGAGCCACAGAAGAAGCTGCCGCCCTCCTGCAGTCACCAGCAAGCCTCCTCCTCGGTGTTCACCCCTCCAGGGTGACTTTTGACCCACTAGGGGGTCTACCGATGAAGAAAACATAGCCGGTGGAGAGACAAGTCTCTTTACTCAACCGGAGTCACTGAGAACCGGAACCGGAAGTCCCCCCTTCCCCTCTTGAAGGACCTACTAACCCATCTGGCAAAGGGGAGTATCTTCACCAAATTAGATCTAAGAGAGGCGTACTACCGTGTAAGAATAAGAAAAGGGGATGAATGGAAAACTGCTTTCAACTGTCTGTTGGGCAGCTATCAGTTCAAAGTTATGCCGTTTGGACTACAGGGATCTCCAGCTGTCTTCATGCAGCTGATCAACCAGGTGCTATAACCAGGAGTTTTGGTGTATCTTGATGACATCTTAGTCTATTCTGAGAATATGACTGACCATGTGAGCTTAGTACGAGACGTACTGAAAAAACTGCTAAATGCTAAGCTATATGTTAAATTGTCAAAGTGTGAATTTCATCAGACACCACTGGATTATTTGGGCTACAGAATTTCCAATGAGGGCATAGAGATGGCTCCTGCCAAGGTAAAAGCTGTAATTGAATGGCAATCCCCAAAGACTCAAAAACAGCTTTAGAGCTTTCTGGGATTTGCAAATTTTTACTGTCTGTTCATCCCTTCATTTGCTGAAATTGCTTTACCCCTAACAAACTTATTAAAAATGGGTAAAGAAAGGGGGAAGCCATGACTGGGCCAGCCACTGGCATGGACTATGAACTGTCAAACTGCTTTTGAAAATTTAAAAAGACTATTTGCAGTCGAACCAGTCCTAAAACACCCCTGCCTGGGTGAACCATTTGTGATTCAAGCTGATGCTAGCGATGTAGCAGTAGGAGCAGTACTTTTGCAAAAAAAAAAAAAAACCATGAGGGAGTGCTACAACCCTGTGCCTACACTTCATAAAAATTCACCGACTGCGAGAGGAGGTGGGCAGTTTGGGAGAAGGAAGACTTTGTAATTCGATGGGTGCTGTTGGCATGGCATCATTACCTGGAAGGAAGAAAAGTGTCTTTCGAAGTATGGACCAATCACAAAAACTTAAAGGCTCTGAAAACTCCTCATAAACTATCCCCCAAACAAGTACCCTGTCTCTCAGATAACCCTGCAGAACCCCCAACCTGCAAAAAATCCCAACCCCGATGATCCCATAACAGTGAAGTTAAGGCAGGAACTCCTTAATGATCAATGCTTTAATCAATCCACCCTAACCCATAGGGGAGAATTATATCTGCCTGAAATCCTTTGGCTCCAAGCACTCCAATGCAGCCATGATGTGAAACAAGCTGGACACTTTGGCTATTTGAAAATGCTACATCTACTTTGACTGCTGTTTTGGTGGCCAGGTTTGAAAAAAGATGTAGAATACTATGTCAAAAGCTGTGCAGTATGTGCCACCATGAAAAGAATTCCAGGGAAGCCCCCTGGACTATTGCAGCCAGTTGCAGCCATGGGAAGAGATCGCTATGGATTTTATTGTTGAGTTACCTGAAAGCAGAGGAAATATGGTAATATGGACTGTGATTGATCTTTTTCGAAGTAGGTTCATTTCATCACCTGCTCTAGCCTCCCGTCAGCCGAGAAACTGGCTAAGATATTCCTTAAACACATTTATAGACTACACGGCACACCAAAGCTGATACTTTGTTTCCTGAATAAAATGTTCTTTAAGGAAAAAATCTTTATCTTGAAGTTCTTTTAATGAGTTTCATCTATTGGAACCATGACAGTTTCTCTTAATTTTAAAATACGATTAATGCAGCAAAAATGTTTTTCATGTTTATTAGACGCTTCAGATAAAGTTTAAAATAGACGTCAAATTTATTATTCTGGACTATGAAATGATGGACACACCCTAACTTATATGATGTGGTTTGACCTGCCATTGTTCTGTTTTGATTTGCTATCCATATTTTTATTAATATGTTTTGGGAAGAGTAATATTGTTCAAACGACGTGAATGCTATTTTAATTATATGCCCCAGATTTGAAATGTATCATTATATGAAGTATTTGGTTTTAGTGAGCAAGGGTTGCTGCAAAAAAGATGGAGTTTTCCAGATTTACAGTCTTAGATTGATTATGTTTAATTGCTATCTTATCAGTGTAATGGAAAGAGTAATCAATATTATTATGTGGTCAAGATTAGGTTTAATACTCTTCTTAAAGCTGAGCTCTTTTATGTTTCCTTTCTCTTTTTCTTTTCCTTATGTGTTTGCTTTTCATTTGTTTCTGTATTTTTCCTTTCTATATATTAAAGCAAAAACATAAAAAGTAAAAGATAATCTGCTCATAACAAGCTTAAATAAAATTGCTTGTCATAGCAGAAAAGCAAGATACAGTAATCTGTCTAAATACAAGACTAATATAAATACCATTAATTATTTTCAACTGTGGCATGCATGATACCGGCAAAGAAATGGGTGGCACATCTGGATAGAAAATAAAGGATTAAGAATGTGCCCTATGGTGCTACATTAGGCCTGCTTGTTTTTCAGTTAAGCAGAAGCTGAAAAATGCACAGCATTTGCATGGTAAATAGAACATTATCCAGGTGAAGCAGGCAAGATATCCATTGTCCCCAATCTTGGTAACATGGCCAAAAATGTCAGTGCTTGGAAGGGATGAGCATTACAGAGGACATGGGGAAAGAATTCCTCTCATGATGGGACACAGAAACTCCTCTACATAAATGGGACACAGAAATTTCAGCAAATGTGGTGCTACTGTCATATTCATTGAGATCCTTCATCCTGTTGAACTTATTCATACAGTAGTGCAACTACAAAAAAGGCTGGCCAGCATTGTTCCATAGCAAAAACAGGTCTTGTTACCGTTTTTAAATGTGATATAAATAAGCATTATTGCTTAATACTATCATTTTAAATATACTGTCTCAGAAAGTTCTGATTGGATTTGGTATTTTTGATTATTGGATTTTCCCCAGGGATCTAGGAGAGTTGAAGATTCTAATGTAATATATGCACTGTTCCAAGTAATGTGACTATTTGTAATTGAAATATTGAGATTGTGTCCATTTCCATTGTGTTTAGAAGCATTTCCAGAGCTTTTGATAGGGCACCAGCACTTGAACACAATAGGAATGGACATAACAACTGCAACTCATTCTATGAAGGATGGAACATAGTGAATAAAACACAAGTCCTTTGTTCTCTTCCTCATAAACTGCAAGCACTCCTTAATCTGTTCTTCAACTATATGTATCTCTATTTCTTCTAGGCTGACGTCTGAGGTCACTGGAATGGGTGCACTCTAATTCGTCGCTTGTCATCCTTAATTCTACATCACCCGACTCCATCAAGTCAATTATCCTTCATTCAGCTTGTACAATCTGCATATTTACTACTTCACATACCTGTTTTATCTCTTAGGATATTTTTCTTCAGAAAGGAATGTGTGCATGCACATCCAGACTCACACACTCATGTTGATAAGTTCTTTGCATTTTGTGCTCCTGGTTTTCTTAAAATTTAATTTATGATCCGGGCCAGTCAGATGTAAAGTGCATACTAATCTAAATAGATTTTGCTGAGGTTTTCTTTCATTAAATCTTCAAAGAAGACATTCTCATTAGCCACAGTTTAGCTGGACCTTGTTACCTTAATTCTCTCAGCTTTTTTTCAGCACCTGCAGTAATTCTGAGACTGAGCCTCATTTAGAGCAATAGATGTTCAGTTATGTCATTATTCTCTCAGTTTCTAAACCTTATGCGTTCTTGCCTCATCCTTAACAGTATCCTTTAAATCTGGCATGGTTTCTTCCATTAAACAGAGCAGGCAAGAGCCAGTGAACATCAGCAGGAAATCTCACTGGTTCCCTGGTGGTTTCTGTTGCTTTGGAGTGGCATAGCTAGAACCAACCCTTCTCATAATCTCACAAGAATCAACAAAGCTGGGGGGGGGGGAGAGAAACGGGACCTTTTCCTGAAATGTGGAAAACAGAGAGCATGAAACTAAACTAAATTCAAAGTGTGACAGGAACTGCTGAACAGCCACCCACAGACTTTTGGACTTAGGTTAGGAAGCTCCAGTTTCTGTGAGCCAGTTGTGTTTGCCGTTGTTTAAATTCAATAAAGTCTGTGCAGCTTTGCTAGTAATAAGTCCTAATGTTGACCTCAATGCTTTTTTATTTTGTTGATGGAGTTTGTGTATCCTTTATCTTCTCAATTTATTTCATACTTAGGTTGGGAAAGAGAGAACTTAAGATATAGCCATTGGAGTGACCGGCAGATCTGTTTTTTTATAACGGGAGAGTTAAAATTAAAGTGAATTCAGAAGGCTCTGTTTACACTATATGTCATCTGATGAAGAAATCCCCCCCCCCCAATGTTTCAGGAACTATGCAAGCAAGCAAACAAACAAACAAACCAGAAAATCAAGACGCACAGCTCTAAACATACTTATACTTGTCTGATTTCACAGTATCCTTACAGTATTGGGGGTTTTCACAGCCATTAGCTATTAATAATAATGTGGATGGCCTCAGTTACAGTGGCAATGAGTGCACCATTGAAAGACTTGAAAGACTAGGTTGTCATGGAGAAAATCTGTATAGTAGATGATATTAACAGTTGGTTTCAATGTTCCCAAGTTTGTAAGTATTTCCTTAGCAAAATTCCTTTAGGCCTATCTGCCTGTATTTGACAGGATACATTCCTATACAAGGGCCAACTATGCCCACAAATTACTGTCCAAATACCAAAAAAAATTGAAAAGAAGTCTGTTCTTATTTTAATAATGGACTTCATGCCCTCAAAAGAATCTATATACCCACAAATTCTATCTTATTGTGTTAAAGAGATTGGTTTTTTTTCAGCAACGTTTCCTGGCAATATCTTTTCTAAGATACAACTATCAGAACAGGAAACAATATTGTGTTCCAAGACTGGCCACGCAGATTTCTATAATAGCATAACAATATCAGAAGCTTAGTTTTTATCTTTTTCCTAATGATAATCTTTATAATAAATGTTAGACCAACATCATTAAGCTATCACAAATTCACAAACCCCAAATTTTAAAATGTTTTGAAACAATAATGAAAAATTAAAACACAGGTTTAGCTCAAAGCAGTCTAATCAATCTATTTGGGGAAAGGGTGAAGTTCTTTTCTGAAGATTTGCCATAAAGGAAATTGCTAAGCCCTCATGATCACCCAATAATCCATTTCACCCCCCCCCCTTTTTATATATACTGGACAATCAAATAGACTTGATAAATAGTCATAATTGTCCCTAAACCTTTCAAGGAAGTTGCAGGCTGCTTCTTGTTTTCAGCTGAAAATTCAGTGGTAATGCAGTTTGCATCCAAGGTATGAAATATCAGTTGCCAAGTGCTGGTTTCCATCCCCCTTCCCCTAAAACAGCCCAATCCCACTTCTACTGTAATTTCTTCTGCCTACCACTATTCTGATCTTCATCCTTACCTCCAAACTCCATGTCCTAAATTCTTGGCTTCAAAGGGATTCTAACATTATGTCAACCTTGACTTTCTTATAATCATCCAATTCTATTCCTCTAACCAAACCTTCTTCATTCCCCAACTACATCATACAGCACTGCACTGAACTGAGTGACTTGGCAGCCACCACAGGTCCCAATGTTCAATCTTCCTCCATTTGCCCTAATCCCAACCACTTCTTCCTGTTCCCCTTTATCTTACCCAATAGACACTGTTTTCAGCTCAGACCACTAGGGATCCTGGTCTCTCAGCCAGGAAGTCTGCTCTAATGACCTCCCTACCTAACTGAACAGTCCCTATCTTTTTAATAACTTAAATCCATGGTGGCGAACCTATGGCATGCGTGCCACAAGTGGCACGCAGAGCCATCCCTGTGGGCACGCACGCCATCACCCCAGAGGGAGGTGGGGCCAAGCTGCTCCCCTCCCCCTCTTCACGTGCGCCAGCGCTTTCACTTTCTTTCTCTGCACCAGGAGTCAGGGAGCAGCTGCAAGAACTGGGTGGGGAGAGGTGAGAAGCCAGAAGCAGTGCAGAGAAAGAGGTGTCGAGATGAGCTCAAGGGCCAGGGAGGGAATGGGGGAAAAGATCGTTCTTGCCACAATCTCCCTTCTGCTGGCCACTGGGAAGCCTGGCGGCATGGCTTGGCATGGCTACACCGGGAAACTCCAGCACCTCAGACTTGCAAGTGAGTTTCGGAGTTCTCCAGATGGCGGCGGCAGGGCGATCAGTGCGGGGGTGGGGGGAAATGGCAGCAGCAGCAGGGTGATCCATGCGGGGGTGGGGGGGAAGATGCCTCACTTTTTCCGCATCGCGCGTCATGGCCATTTGCTGGTTTTGGCAATGCACAAGGCGGCAAGTGGCTGCGACGCACGAGGCGGCAAATGGTGGCTTTCGGTGTGGCACAGCTATTTGTCTCCAGCTGGAGACAAACAGCCATGATGCGCAAGGCAGCAAGAGGCCGTGACACACAAGGCGGCAAATGGCCAGTTTCAGTGTGGCATGGCTGTTTGCCGCCACACCAAAATTGGCCATTTGCTGCCTCCTGCCCAGTGCCTGCCATGAGGCTGCGGAACAAGCCAGGTGGAGCTAAAGAACTGGGTCGGGGCTCTGGAAGGGTTGGGTCTGGGCGGCGGGAGAACAGCGCTGTGCGAGGGTTGCGTCGGATGCACACGGGGCTGCTGCCTCGCTTTTTGTGCCGTGCCAGGGCTGGGCTGAACTGGGCGTTGAGCCTCCTTGCTGCTTCTTCCCCTGCGGACATTGGGAGCACCCACCCAACCTACCGCTCATCCCAGAGCACCTGCCACTTTCCCATACTCTCCAGACCATCGCCAGGCAGCTGGGTGCGCCGAGCTTGGGCCTCAGGTAGATGGAGGCCAGAGGGGAGCGAGAGCTGTGGCTGCCTGGCTCCTCCACCTGAGGACGCATGGGAGAGAGGCCCTGTCCAACTTAGTAAGCCACGGTCTACCCGCAGAAGAAGCAGGGGGATGGAGGAGGAGGGCTGGCCGAGGATGGGTGCAGGGCTGCCCATGGGGGGAATCTGACCAGCCCCAGCCTGGAGGGAGGAGAGGCTGAGGGAGTCTTAAGGGAGGCATTCCAGCATGCCCTGCTGGCTGGTGACAGGCTGGGGAGCGCAGGATGGCAGCAGCTGCCCCTGGATGAGAGATAAGTGGGGTGGGCGCTCTCAATATCTGCAGGGGAAGAAGCCACAAGGAAGCTCCACACCCAGCCCAGCCCAGTCCTGGCATGGCACAGAAAGCAAGGCAGCAGCTCCCTGTGTGTCCCCGTGCGTGAGCGTGCTCCCCCCTGCCAGGCAAGCGGAGCCGCGACATCTGCGGCAGAAGAGCGCAGGCGGGCAGTGGAAGGCATGAGGAGCCCCAATCCCAGCACAGCCCCTCCCCTCCTCCCCCCCTCAGAAGAGCTGCAGGGCTCTTTGCCTTTCCTCATTTATCCTATGCTTGACAGTACTTACTGTATATGCCCCTTTAGATCCCACCAACATCCCAACATTGCATGCTGAGAAGTGATGGACTTCTTGAATGGCAGATGTTTCCTTCTCTTGACAATTTTATCTATCTCTATCCTCTAAAATGCAAGGCTCTCAGTGTTGCTTCATTATTTTTTCCTTAGAAAAACATTTTTAAAATGAAATTATTTTACATAAGAAATTACTTTAGTTTAGCTTTTGGGCAGTTTTTGATAGAACAATAGTTTTCTAGATTTAAAACAATATTAGTGAATCACATAAGCAGTTTCTGAAAATAAAGTACTCTTTATTGATAATTAAGAATCCTGAACCACCAAATTATAGACTGCATTACAAACTCTTCTTACTATTTATAAACACTTTCTGGCCTTGCAAACTAATGCATGGAAGAGGCAACAGGACTGCACCAGAGAATTACAATTCTAATATTGTGCCAGCTCCAACTCTGAAGTATTGGGTCAAATGCAGCAAAAAAAAAACAAAACATCCTGCACTTAACATGTTGAGACTTCTTGCATTACACAAAGACTCTCCTTGCTACTCATTGTATAAAGATGGCTAGATATTGCCCACAGATTGAGGGGGCTCAGTCCCAGTCTTCCTTCTATGCATAACAGGGACACCTTACCTAGAATTAATGCATTAGGTAAAGATTATGTTTGTGGATGGTGACAATGGTGCATGTATCTCATTTCCTACACAAAGCTTAAATACAAAGAGAGTCAGATTCCCTGATAGTTCAGAGAAGTTCCATCCCCTACTTAAATTGTCTTCACATGACGTAGATCAGGACATTTCAACCAGTGATACGCGTACCACTAGTGGTACTTCAGCACCTGGCAAGTACTATGCAACCTAGACAAGTGTAGTGGGATGATGAGCTGAAGCAGCGGCAGTGCCGATGAGCCAGTGTGGGATTCAGCCGGTTCGCACCAGTTCGGCAGAACCAGTAGCTAATTTTTTTTTTAGTTCGGAGAACTGGCTGGAGGAGGCCTCCCAGGCCTAGAACAGCCCACCATAAGTGCGTGGATGCCACTTCTGGGAGTCTGTTTGAGGCCTTGAGGCCTTAGTTGCCATGGCCTGCATCCACTCAGAGAACCATTTGTTCAGGTATTTGAATCCTACACTACGATGAGCTGAAGTGGCAGAAGTGACACACAGGCCTGGGGGAGAGTCAGTTGGAGCTGTGGTGTTGCTAGGAACTCTGCTGAGAACCCAGGATTGGTGCTCATGGTTCCAGATGATCGGTGCTTCCAGCAGCCTCTGCTATCACTGGCCTTGGGATGAGAGAGTCAGCTGGAGCTGTAGGGCTGTCAGGGCCCCAGGATTGACATGCATGGCTACATGCTGATTGACGCTTCTGGTACACCCAAAACAGGAGGGGGAAGAGAGAAGAGGATATTAAAGGAGGAGGTTTTGGCCAGAGAGGAAGAGAAAAAAAGATGATGGATAAAGAGAAGGGGACAAAAAAAGAGAGGGAGAAGAGGAGAGGCTTCTGTGAGACAAGCAGAGGGATCAATGAAAGAGTAAAGGCTGTGGAAGGAGAGCACAGCAGGCAGTGAGAGAGAGAGAGAGAGAGAGAGAGGAGAGAGAGAGAGGAAGACGGGCCAACCAGCTACTGACCACCAAGGTAGTGAGCATATTGATAAATATGGATA